TTTGAACCACCAGCCTCCTGGTTAGCAGTCAAGTGCCTTAGGCATTATGCTACCAGAGCTCCCTGAATGGTTACTAGGGGCCATAATCTTGGGGGTTTCACTAGGCCCTGTCAGACCAGTAAGCCTGGACTTTTGTATGATTTTTTGTTCCACATTGTTCTCCCACTCTATCCAGCATCTCCTGCTACTTTTGAACACTTTCAAGAGGTCTTTTGCAGCATATTTGCCCAATGCAATAATACATCGTTTGATTTCTTGGCTGCTATTTCCATGGAAGTTGACTGTGGATGCAAGGATGAAACGCTTGACAATGTCAGTTTTTTTCTCTGTTATTCATTGTTACTCATTGGCCCACTTGTGAGGATGTTTGTTGTCTTTATGTTGAGGTGTAATCCATACTGAAGGATGTAGCCTTTGATCTTCAGCAGTAAGTGCTTTGAGTCCTCTTTGTTTTCAGCAAACAAGGCTGGGTCATCAGCGTATCGCAGGTTGTTAACGAGTCTTCCTCCGGTCCTGATGCCACATTTTTCTTCATTGAATCCAGTTTCTTGGATTATTTGCTCAGCATACAGATTGGAAAAGTATAGTGAAAGGATACAACCCTGTATCCAGAAAACATAGTATTGCCTTGCTCTGTTCCAATTTCTGCCTCCTCCTGGTCTATGTATAGCTTTCTCATGAGTGCAATTAAGTGTCCTGGAATTTCCATTCTTCACAATGTTATCCATAATTTGTTAAGATCAAATGTCTCTGCATAGTCAATAAAACACAGGTCAACAGCTTTCTGTAATTCTCTGCTTTCAGCCAATATATGTGTAGTATTAGCAAGGATATCTCTGATTCCATGTCCTCTTTTGAATCCAGCTGGAATTTCTGGCGGTTCCTTGTCGATGTACTGTAAGAACTGTTTTTGAATTATCTTCAGCAAAATTTTATTTGTGATGCTAATGATATGCAATGCACTGTCATTGAGTTGGATCTGACTCATAGTGACCCCTCCTTGGGTTTCTGAGGTGGTATCACTACGGAAGTAGGTTGCCCCATCTTCCTTCTGAGGAGTGGCTGGTGGCTTTGAACCTCTAGCCTTCTGGTGAGCAGTCAAATGCCTTAGGCATATTAATAATTAATATTTCAACTCGAGGGTTGATTTCTTTTCTTCAATTCTGTCAGCTTGAGAAATGAATGCCAGGTGTGTTCTTCCCTTTTGGTTTTCTAACCAAACGCAGTATCACCTCGTTCTGTTCCATTTCATTGTAATACTTGGCTTTGTCTTCTCCAGTTGCCCATTGAAATTAGAGTTTTTGTGTTATATCTTCCATTCATTTTAGCTTCTCTCGAGAGCAAGTTTCAGAGTTTCATTTGACATCCATCTTGGTCTTTTCTTTCTTT